ACGCCCACCTCTCCTCATTATCCCTGAATTGCCGGGCATCCCAGCATGTGTGTGAAGGCGCGCGGCCGACCCACGCTCGGGACGGCGGTCCGCGGGCGGGTCCGGCTCTTTGGTCGACCGTGGGACATCTGCTCTGGATCCGCTCACCACGCGTGGCATGACCCGGCCGCCTCGAGGGCCGGGCCGAGCTTAATGAGCGTCCGAAACGACGGATCGCCGATGGCCCGTTACTCTTGGTCGTCAAACCTCGCCGGGGGCCGGGCCGACCCCGCCAGACGGCCCTGCCGAGCGGCTGGCGGATCCAGTCCCATTACGGATGCGCGGCGGTCGACCCCGGCCGCCGTAACGGGCCGCCAATCACGGCCGGCAGGCGCACGGATACACAATTACCGCCCGCTCTGAACCTGTTCGATGGACTCTGACACGTCGGTCGGCCTGGCGGCCGGGCGGCGCGGCATCCGAGCGGCGCCGATCCGAGCTAGCTGCGGGCGCCGCCCGCCGCCGGGCCGGAGACACGGAGGCCGGCGGGCACGCGACCGGGACTCGACCCGCGCGCCTGTCGCGGCGAATCTGACGCCTCACCGCGCCGACGTTTGTTTAGCGGCCGGTTCGAGCGTGGCGGGACCGACCGCAGAGCTCGATCCATACCGGCGCGATTGATCGCACCCCACCGGACAGATGGGTCCTTTGTGCCAGGAGCGTCGCTAGAGTGGCGGGAGGGCGTTCCCTGCTGGGCTGACAGCGGCGGAATGGAGCGGGCCGGTCCCTCTGTCTGTCGACGCCGGGTCCTCTCTTAATCTGCTCCAGCGCCTCATCACTTCTCGTTTGTTTCAAACCGCCGCTGTGATTCGTTTTTGATTGGTGGTCGTGCATTTGTTAGTAGAACAAACAGCTGTCTTATGAATATAACAGCAGGCCGAGATCAGCACTGTGGCGCCGCGTACGGTGCTTTGCTGTCTCAATCACCTGACTCGCTTCATGTGCTTACATGAAAAAATGCGTGTGAAAGCACCATTTCCTCCGTAAACTTCTGACAACGCCACACCACTGTATTAATCAGTAGTCACAACATAGAGCTGGATCGAATATATTTCATGGCATAGATAAGGATCTGCATATGCATTTGTATATCTGCATCTGTTACAGGAAGCGGGGGTAAGTATCTTTAGATGTGAGGGCCTGGAACGGTGCTAGGCACGAGTGATCTAGTTCAGCCCCGTACTCAGCAGCTCCTCCTCTAATGTCCACTTGTATTAGTTGATGAAAGCACAGCCCATTTACTATTCATTTCCCAAGGCATCCCTTTGGATTTCGCGCTATATGCACAGATCACAATGACGCCGTTTCAGTCCTCGGGGCGCCATTTCCCCTCCCGCCAAGGTTTGGGGCACCTCCAAGTGTTCATGACCATGATACGCCCTGCCCTGCTCTGCCCCGTGCCGGGTACGCGTGTAAGGCGTGTGGAAGAGCGCCTTCGGATCCCTAGGGCGGCTTCTGAAGGAACGTCTTTACTTTCCGATCAGAGGAGGCACGTGCCCCCCGGGGCCCCGGAACCCATCCAGATGCCTTCTTATATGACTACTATGCTGCTGAAATGAAGGACCGCTTGATAACTAACAAAAGATAGCACCTTAATTTAGGTTTCTTCGCAATGAAGTAGGATATATCGTTGCAGCGAAGTGGAAGGAGGTTTGCTTGATCGTCCAGTCCTCGACTCGGCTCCCAATCATTTACATAAATTGGCGATGAAAAAGCACCCAAAACTGAAAAGTGGCCCAGCTGCCGCTGGAAGACGCACTGTTTTATTCGTCGAACCTACGTCTCCAGGGGTCGATAAGCATACGATTCCTTAAGTTTGACAATCGCACTGCGTTACCATCACAGCATTGTTAGACACGAGGCGCCGGAGTTGCGTTTGTTGCGCAACTTTAGAAAATCGGCCTCAGTAATGAAAATGTCTGACCATGCTTGGACTTAAATCGGTGCTTTGGTGATGTCCGAGTTGAACGCTCAGGCCCAAGTTTGCGGGTCCAGTGGCCTGGAACGCACGTTTTTAAAAGTGATCAATGCTGAATTATCATGCTGTAACCTTCTGAAGCACTTCGTCACCTGTAGGGAAAATTATGTTCATTTCATCTCTCTACTGTCCGTCGTAAATGCCTATCAACCGTCTTTTGCCGCTTATTCTACGAGGCATGTGTGGCCCAGACCAGTGACGTGCGCAGCGCGAGACGACACGTGACGACAGACACAAACAAGACCGTACCTATGTGAAATTACAAACAAGACAATAGCCATGTGAGGAGTATATCAAATATCTTGCGCGCAGACATGTCGATAGCGAAGACGCGCCTAAAATCGCTGTTGTCCGAAATGCGGTGTTTGTGCTCAAGTTCGTCACGCAGGACAAAAACATTTTGCTAAAGAAAGCATTCTGCGAACCATTTTTTCACACCTTAGAAGCGCATGCGATATAAAGCTATCTGTTGAGCTCATTTGCGTTCACCCAGTTTTTTTTTTCGTACGCGTTATTTCGAACAATTAGTGAAGCGTTGGGCAACATTTGCATTGCGAGATCCTAGCGCAGCATCGGGGGAGGGTAGCTCAATATTGGGGGGGAGGGCATCGCCCCACAGTGAGATACAAAGTTACACCACTGCGGAACACCTGCCCAAAAGCGTGCGAAAGCCGTTGAGGAGTCGAAGCGGCGACGCGCGGTCTGGCATCGGCAGTCGGAGAGACTTCATATTAAGGAGATATGTGCGTCGCGTGTCCGGCTCGTTTTTTCCAATGCGTTGTAAGATTCGTGTTAAGGGGCACGGAAACCAGCGAAAGGGATTGCGGAACGCGGCTGCCCCGAACTTGCTGAAAAGCAGTGATGGTCCTATGAGTGCTGACTTGAAAGGGATCATCAGAATTCCGGCCCCCATTCAGCTCCCAGGTCAGTTCCCCTGAATTTTACTGCCCTCCACTTACCTAACCCTGGTCACGGCGTCAGAATGCGGAGTGTCTTGAGTAAGACTTAATGCTCCCGCAACACTAGAACGCAGGAAGATCCCCGAGGTCGTGGCAGATAATCGCCACGTTCTGGAAGTTGTGGAGAACGCATGCCCCCTTTTCCATGGTGTCTCCGCTCCTGATGATGTATAATATTTTAGCTATACTGTTGCCACAGTGCACTTCCCCTTCAAGAATTTGATATTTTAACATTAAATCGGTGGTCATGCATAAAGTTAATGGCCTCAAAAAGTTCTAAGATTTTTTCTTCGGATTCCAAGTCATTTTTGGAAGCTGTCACACCTGTCTTTTGCATCCCATTGATAACATGTCATCCAAATGAACGGTTGCGGCTCGTTTTTGTCAGTTGTACTTGATTGGGGACTTCAGATGTGAGCATTACATATATATATATATATATATATATATATATATATATATATACATATATATATATACATATATATATATATATGTATATATATATATATACATGTATATATATATATACATATGTATATATATATATATATATATATATATATTTATATTTATATATATATATATATGTGTGTGTGTGTGTGTGTGTGTGTGTGTGTGCGTGTGTGTGTGTGTGTGTGTGTGTGTGTGTGTGTGTGTGTGTGTGTGTGTATGTATGTATACGTACTTATGCAGCCCGCAGTAAGTAGTATTTACAGCCGTAGCATGGCAACTAAAACGGCAAAAATATTACTACTTTGCCCTCTTTTACATCGGAACTTTAAGAACTAAAACGGTGTCTTTAATTAGACCACCGCTGAGGGCTATACCGCACCACCTAGGCCAGTGCTTCTGTAAAAATGGTATTACTTCATTGGATTCAGATCCAGATTAAGATGCATATTCATCAAGGGTTCACAACCATGGGGGCTTTTACCTGACACATCAGAAAAAATGAGGAGCTGTGGGGTTGTTTGGGCCAGTGATTCGGTGAAAACTTCGCAGGACCTTTGCAGTGTAAAGAGAGAGCGCTACCAAAAGAAAGGTAGCGGTCGAAGTATAAAAATATGCCGTTTTTGTTCTGATATCACATGCCCAGTGTGCCATAACCTTTCATTTCTCACGGTAAATGTAAGACCATAAAAGTGAGTGTGATCAAAGAGATAAATTGTAGTACCCATCGATAAATGTTATGTCGTTCGTATTTGTTGGCATTCATTTCAATATGCTTCCGTGTTGACCATTCGCAGTCAGCAGGTATTTTGTTAATCGTCAACAGCATTGGTACTCGAAGAATGCATATTTATGCATATGTATATATATATATATATACATTGGCGGGTGATGACATTAAACATGGATAGTTTCACGCCAACTGTATTGATCGCGGCGGCCTGCGCGCATTGCCTCGATGGCCGCAGCACAGCTTATTCTCGCATGCACAGCTGACAGTCGTCATTTGCTCACGTGTGTGTGGTTAGCATGATCACTTACATGCATAACACAGCGCACACAACAAGCATAGCACACTAGTGTGGTTCATGGCGTCTTCAGGATGGGTATTCCTTGGACACTAAGACTGTCGTTAGATATAAAGCACAGATGAAAAGCAGTATGAATCCTGTCATGCATTATGTACATACGGATAATATAAATATCAAAACCATCTAGGCAATGCCCGACGCGTCATGAAGTCAAGTAGGAAACACTGTCATGGTAACCCCTGCCAATGTTTCGATCACCTAGATCGTGTATGCTCTAACAACAACAACCCCCCCCCCCCCCGCCCCGGTGCCTCTGATTCCTTTGTGAGGCATAAGTTTGCATGCATACACTCTCAAGATGCAAACGACCCTCGCACGGCATGTGTACTCTTCCTCATGATCATCTCCTACCTACCACTGTCCTGCTCATAGCGTAGCATCAAAGCTATGATTTCATAGAAGCGTAGCATCCACCCTGCATCTCCGGGATCTCCGCAAGGAATCTTCAATTTTGCAACAGCGTCCCATGCAATCCGCCAGCTACGTTTGCACCAGGTTCGCCGTCACGTCTGGCTTAGCGGCGGACTTTTGACCTCGGGTTGACCTGTCCCAGGTGTCCGGTCCGTTCTTGACCAGCAGGATCTCGTACAGCAGGCTGACGGGCCGCTCCACGCCCGGGAACATGAACCGCTGCCTCGCCACCTTGTTGTAGTCCCACTGGACCACGTTGAAGCCGACCCGCCGCAGCAGCCCTACTGCCCGGCTCGCAGTCCGATAGAAGTCCATCTCCGGCCGCGGGTCGAGCCGCAGGTGGACGTCCAGTCCGATCTGCTCCACCGCATCCAGCACGAACTCGCCGCTGCCGTCCAGCAGCTGCTGCGACAGCATGTCCAGCTCGCTGCCCTCGATGTCCAGCTGGAGGTAGCTGATAGGCCGGCCGATGTGGCCCAGCATGCGCACCACCTGGTCCAGCGTGTGGATGTGCCACCCGTTGACGTTGGTGTGGTTATTGCGCCCGACGCCGATCTGGTGGAAGGTGACGCCGGCCGGCTGATGCTGCTTCGGCAGGTCCAGACGCGGGCTGAAGGCGTGCACCTCGCAGCCCAGCTGCACCATGGCCTCAGCGAAGCTCCACTCGGCCTGCACGCTGAACGCATAGACCAGACACTGTTTGGAGGTGGCCAGCCGCATGGGCGGGTCCAGACAGGCGAACCGGTCGCCCAGCTTCAGACAGCCGGCCGACGTGACCGCGCCGCCGAACTTCAGCAGCCGTTTACAGGAGCCGGTGGGCTTCTCAGCCCAGTCGAAAAGCCGACGGAACACACTCTTCTCCGGCTCCGAGAAGCTCCGCTGGCTGGCAGAAGAGCGGGCCCTGCAGCGGGAGAAAGGGGTCGGGTCAGCCCGGGAAGTGGGCGCCGCCACCCCACCAGCCGGTGAGGAGGCGCGGATTTCGGAGCAGGCGACTGGAGCGGCTCTGCGGAGGGCCGGGTCTGCTGGCGCTGTATGAGGGATGACATGTGACCATCTAGATCGCGTTCTGCTTACGGAAGGCACGGCAAGTTATCAATGAAATAGATTACCCAACACGGAGAAGGTGACGAGTTTAAATTCATAATTGTTCAAGGTTTTTAAGACTGTGCACGTTCACACCTAACAAGTATGTAATCATCTGGCACAGCAGCAGCGTTCTCTTCGCTGTTGCTGACTCACGTGAAACAGCTGAGACCAGTAGAGCTGCCGGGAGGCACCGAGGGGGGCGGCGACGGCAGCGGCGCCGCCGCAGGCTGTGCTGGTGCATTTGCCGGTTGTGCCAGTGCCGCCGCGGACTGCGCAGGGGCCGCCGCGGGCTGCGCAGGGGCCGCCGCGGGCTGCGCAGGGGCCGCCGCGGGTTGCGCAGCGGCCACTGCGGGCTGCGCAGGGGCCGCCGCGGCCTGCGGCGCCGGTTGGGCTGGCGGCGGGGTCGTCTCTGGCGTCTCGGCGCTCGCCTGAGCCGGCTCCGTGGGGGCCGTGGTGCTGCCCGTGACGCCCTCGGCCGTCGAGCCAGCCACCAGCGGCGCCTCACGCTTGGCCGGCTGCGCCTGGTCGGCGCCGACTTCTCCCCAGATGTCGTCGGTGACAAAGGACGGGTCCTCGGCCGGGATGTAGGGCACCTCGTCCGGGATGGCGCCCGGCTCGAGGCTGACCGGCTCTGGCATCGGCGGCGGCCGCGGCTGGCGCACGGCCAACACCATGAAGAACGCTCCCCACACTACCAGCGTGGCAGTGACCGTGGCCCGTTCCATGAAGGAGCGTGGCACCCGGTACGCACGCCGGACACTCTGGGGAGACGGGCGACGCGTCAGCAGAAGTCCCCGCTCTTCATGTACCAGTAACTACCGATGGGTGTGATGGGGTCCTCGTCCTCGCTGCCCCGGGACAGATGACATTAATGTTGGACGGTTTTCGTGTGAGATGGAATTAGATAGGATTCCATTGGAATGCGACCATGGACTTAAGGAACTCAATTCGAGCGGTTACTTTCACGATTCAGGTTACGCTGATGGGTTCCTTTGACCTGTTCCCAATGTTTGGCAGCGTTTTTTCTTCTTCTTTTTTGTCTTCCCAGTAGGTGCTCTGAGTCCTGGTTGGTCTGAGCAGTGATATCTACGTAATGTGCTACACGAACAGACAGGCACATTTATTTTGGCCAAACCTGAGCGGAAACATATGCGTCATGAGTCGTTATCTACGGCCGAGCCACATAACCGAGTTTCGAAACCAGTTCCGCCTCGAGCACTTTGGCAGAAAAGGGACTTAACGGTCCGTTTTCAGGGTCAATGACCCGCATGGCATTCACGATGGCATCCTTGGGATCCACCCAGGTCAGGGTTTTAAAGCTCTAGTGTCAATAGAAGGGCCACTTCTTGCGGCAGTTTACGGGCTGATGAGCGTCGTATGTTGAATAACAGGTTTGAAGACGGGTTCAGTAACCTGGGCACGGAATCTGGTTACCTTCACGTATGTTGTTGTAGCCATTTGATCTCGGTGATGCGCAAGTAATTCACTGTTTGGAACGGTTCTGCGGTTAGTGCGTTTTCAAAATTCAGGTTGAAAAACTATCGCCAAAGATATAATGAAAATGTTTACGTCAGCATACAAAATATGTAATTATGTCATGCCCACAGTTGCTAGAAGAGGTACGATTATCGTCTGGTGGAAAAGCTGACGCAAACGGCCTCGCGCCGGTCCAGAAAACCTGGAAAAAATGAAGGGAAGTAGAAATATTTTGGTCCGCCCCGACGGCTCCGTTGTTTAGAGCGCCTGCCTTCCCTTCCATCCGCCCGTGGTGGGGCAGGTTCGAGTCGCTTTAGTCGCTCGCTTTTTGTCCTTGACAGGCATGGCCTGTGGCCGGCGGCAGCGGCCGCACTAAAGGTCAGGTGACGTCAGAGGGCAGGACGGACCGTGCCGAGCATTGCGGCACGTTAAACTTTGAACGCCAAAGTCTGCCGTTGACCTGGAATTGCGCGGGTGGATGGTGGGGTCAGGGCTCAAACAAGCCATGTTCGGCGTCAGCTCTTGTTCCAGAAATGCATGCATTCGAAAGGTTTGGATTATTTTCTTTTTTAATCAAAGATTGATAGAGGAATTCCATAATGTGGTGCTGCGACAAAGGGATAAACGCTTTTACGCTTTGCTCTCCCTAAAGAGGAGAATTGGAACAAGTAAGTCAATGTAATCACTGAAGACAGATTACTAATTTATACCCGAAAGCCGAAAACAGTTTGTGATTCTACCAAATAATTCAGGAGTAATTGTAACGTTGACTCTGCTGTACCGGTTGTCATCGAATATCTACCAAGAAATGTAACAAAGCGAATAATTGACGGAGAAACATGTACGCCACAGCACCTGTTGTCACTCACATAGATCGATGCTGACTTCGCATCAATAAAAAGGGGAAATCACCTGGTTCCAACGGCTTCATGGCCTACTTAGGACTCTTGTTTTATGCAAGTAGTGTCTTCTTTATACAGAAGTGTGTTGTACATGCAGGAAATCTCACTATCACTTACGTATCACCAGGATATCATCACGCTTATATGCAGTGCTGTCCAACCAATAGGCTTTATCAAAGACAGGAAACCAGTATATTTCGTTATTGTACGTTGCAAAGCATATTCTCAGCAATAAATCGCCAATTAAAACGTGTAGCGCACCACACCATACGGCCCCACAATCAGCATATCTCAAAGGGAACTCTATCAGCGATTGTCCACTTTCACAGTGAGCAGAATGCCTTGTTTCAATACGATCGACTCCAGTCTTTTAATCGAGCTATGAAGGAGACAAACACATTTCCTCAATGCCTGGCCTGTTTGAAGTAATGACCAATCTAAGCCTTCATCTGCCAATAAGCGGTGCTCCGTTCCGCCCTGCATATCGGCTGGATTGTGCCCCGCGCTGGGGACTCACAATTATTCCAACGTTTAGTTACTTTTCAGTTTCGTGCCGCCTCTCATCGCGCGGTATTGCCACACAGCCAACAGTGGCCAGTGTGAGGGGCCTAGACGATACGTTGATAAAACGAAGTGTCCTCCAATAGAAGTTAATGGGGACAACCCACCCCTTAAGTTACTAAGAATTTCGTTTCATATCTAGAAAGCAAAGTATCCCATAAATGAAAGGATATAAAACAATGGAAGCACAGACATCTCACACAAACGGGTAAAATAGCTGCAATCAAGTCCTTCATTCTGTCTAAATCAGTGCACATATTCCTGGTATAGCACGAAGCCACACACGTGTTCTGACGCGACCCTAGACGGTAGGCATGTCTATAGAAGCTGAACAAAACTCGCTCAGTCACACAGATTTGATGGTTTGGGCATGATTCATTCCAACCGAATTATTCACAGAGTGTGAAGATTTAACAGGATCATTTCGGTCTAATTCTGTTGGTTTAAGCTGGCACATGGTTATATCCCTCACACCGAAGATCTTTTAACGGGCGATTCGAAGACAATTGAAAAGAATATAACCAACACTATGCGTAGAAGCTCTGGAAGAATGAATTGGAAGCATGGTCTTAGTTTTACGAATTGTATAAGCCTAACAACTTTAAAATAACTGGTGAAAGGATTAGTTTCGGATATTACCAAAGTTATCACCATCATGATGAAAAAGAATGATAAATCGTGGTTTCAATTAACAATTCCAGTTACAAGCTTTCTGCAAAAAACGAATAGAAAATAATGCAGCATACGGCTTGCCTTTTTTGTTCTAAATATCGTATAAGACGTAATAAAAACTTGACCGGACGTACTAAAAAGGTGAAATGCTAAATAACCAATGCCATATTCACTGATACCTTAAAGGGAATGTTTCTTATTTGAAGATAATGAAGCAAGCATCAGATTTGATGACACAAGTTCACTTATGATTATCGGTATACTTTCAAAGGGAAACGATTACGTGATCGCACATTCCACAACATTGATTGAGAACTTATTGATGACGTTTGTAGTTGGAAATGGTGCTCAATGACGCCAGATATGAACGATTCGACTATTATGTTTGTTTGGCCTTGATCGCCGCAAGGCTTACGGAATGGCAGGCTTTGAATGGCATTATTATGACGTCATGGGTGCCAAGGTAGCTTTGAAATATCGCGGAGCGTGGCCCAGAAATAAGAGGGGTTTAAGTCTTAAGAACGGCAGGGCTGTGAACTGCACAAAATGATCCTCAAGATTGCTATTTCATTTTAAAACCTCACAGAGAAGTGGAACACTCTTTAAGGGATTAACGCTTTAAGTGGAGACACCAAACTATCACAAATAGCATGATGCATAGCATAGTGACATTTAAGCAAAGCGTGTGCGCACAAAACAAACACCTTCACATACAAGCACACGTATGTGCATGTGCACTCACACGCGCATACAAACACACAGTACTGCGTGACGGGCCTGACTGCATGTGACGTACATCCATATGCGCATGCAAACAAATAGCCCTGTATAATGAGCTTGACTATATGTGGACCAGAATCACTTTCTGTTAGTAAAACGCATTCAGGAAATCCGTTGGAATATAGCACGATGCGTGGACGGTTTGGGCAGCAGATTCCAACTAATCCTTCCATGAGATGATTCATCGATGCAAGCACACCTGTTCCCGAAATCGAATATTAGCAGTTGAAAAGTGAGCAATGGGAGTGTCTTTAGTCTGCTTTCTTGTCCTCTTGATGGCCATATTAACCATTGCGTGACATTTAAATAGCTATCAAAAACATGATGAGACCTTTGCGTGCTGGAGAGTCTAATTTGTAGCATTTATTTGAAAACTGTTTCGCAGCACGCAGATAACTTTGATAAAGCTTTGATCATTCTAGCATCGCTGAGCACGTGCGCACTTGTGGTTGCATGATCCAGAGATAAGCCTTTGTCCATCTGATGATCGTCGTGTGTGCTTGGGCTGGTTTTAGGTGCCACGTGCTACCTAAAAACAGCTAAAACTATGTCTCAGAACCCCATCCTACCCCATTATCATTACATTGAAGAACATATAAAACTTCGCCAGTTTGATTTGCTACTGTTGGAGAGAAGTGCAGGGGCCTGTTTATACTGCAACCAATGGCATAAAGCAGTGCGTTCGAAGGTGAACATGATGTTATACTTAATGAAAGTCCCAGGACTATTTGTTATAATGGAATGGTAAGTGTGATAAGGTGTGGTAAAGTAACATCAAATCCTTAAACATTGGAAAAAGCTTAGGCAGTCTTACAAACCGTTCGTAGGTGTCAAAGACAGGGCGAACTCACGTGGTCCGCATTATCAAACCTCTGCAGACATTAATATGTGCGTGAATAAACGTTGGCACTGAAAAATTCGAGATGGGCACGCAAAACAAAACAGGTCAAGCATTGCATTGTCATGTAATGTTTTCCGTCGTACAAGAAATTTCGCGCGTCGTCGGCACGCTTAGATAGTTGATAATGCAGGAAATTTTTGTTGAAATAAGAATGAAAGGAATTGGCAGTGTATTGGAAATGGTGTATTGCGTATTGGAAACATATTGGAAATTTGTGCTGGAAATCTTTAAGCTGTGCTCCCCTCACGCACACACACACATACACTGTCAATTCCTATAGGTGCCCCTGACCACAGAAGTCTGTACAAATGTCTTCACGATGCAGAGCTGCAACAACTGTAGTAAAAGCGTAATATAAGCGTCACTGGTGATACTAAATGACCGTGCGCCATGCATTTTTCGGTGTTTGGAGCAACCAAGATAGGGACGATTTTCCCCAGAATGATGGTGCTTCTGCCGTAAATCCTTTCCATTTTTGTAGCGCATTTCAGTATTTTCATAACGATTTTACTCTTGTGATGACTGGTGCCAGTCGTTGGTACGACACCACTCAGCGAACAACTGGCAGTCTATTAGCCCCGTGCAGCACACATCGGTCGCCGCCAACGACAGCGGCCTGCTGCTGCCTGGCGTGTGAGCACTCACCCCCGACCTGGACACCATGGCGCCGGTTGTCGATCCGCACGTCAGCACCGTCTCCCACTGCCTGTGGAGCACCTTATCTCGGCCGATGGTCGACGCTGTCTCGGACCGCGCCGCCCGGCCGGCCACTTAAAGCGGCTCCGCCCCGTCTTGTCGTAACGGGACGGACGGGACGCCGTGTCGGAGCAAATGGGACGCCGTGCTTGGACAGGGGAACCCTGTGCCGGGGCAGGGGACGCCGTGCCGGGACAGGGGATGCCGTGCTGGGGCTCCAGCAAGCTCACCACAGACATTTTGCATGGTCTGTTTGTTAACTCTTCGAAAGCTGTGCTATATGCAATGACTTATTTCCAGACATGACGGCGGCTCACGAAGAAATGTGGTTTAAAATATTGTTTTGTGTTCTAAAACGCATCGAAAAATGCGTCAGCAATCATGAATGGCGTAAATATGCATGAACACATCTGTAACAAGTGTGCGCTTATGGTCAACTTTATCACTTTTATGAATAAGAAATTAACTTTTGGCTTTCGAGTTCATCGTGAACAGCACATACCAGCTATCTGACGCATACAACATCTCTTCGAACGCTTGGGCGTCCAGCTGAGTACTGTCCGGCAGCTGAAGGCCTCTGTCCAGCATGTGCGTCCGCGCCAGCTTCAGCAGGTGAGGGGAAAACCCAGATACGCCTATGCGGAAATCCAGGTATAATTTTAGACACTCTTCATTGTTGGTGCAGGGCGATCATTTTATAGTGTCCCATTCCTCTACACCTTAGACCAAGCTCAAATGATTAAATATGCAGGTATGGGCACTGATGTTTCACTTCACATCATCGAGCACTGGCATGCGTAACAAATATCAGCGTAAATCACGTTTTCTGCCGAAAGGCAACACCAATGAGCTGGAAGAATGAGCACATGACTGCACAGCCTCTTCCAGGTAAGAGCACTCGCACAGGCTTTGCGGGGTGGGTGTGCCACTTCAGAGTCTGGTAGAGACATTGCATCAGCATTGACAACGTGCGGCGGCGAAGTTGAGGAGTCTGGCATTTGCGGTGGCAGCTAGCACGATTTCCATGAGGGGCTTCGAATATGAAACAACACTCAGGTCGTAGTGGAAATTCGGAAACTAAATTGAAAAGATGGAAGTTTGCTGATTTTTACCTATTAAGCAGATTGTGGGAAATTTTAATCAGGATGCCTGAAATGATGTTCTCGGCTCATTTACTTCAATATTGTGTGCCTCATCAGCTTCGACGCATGTCCACATGGCACGAAGACGGCTAGCACAACACACTCAGTTTTCGTCAGCCATTCCGGCAGCTAGATGTCGGGTCAGCCATGAAATCCTATAAATGATGTCCAATGCACCACGAAATATTGCTAATTCATATCGTCCACAGATTGCAGCAGACCTTTGCATGCACTTTAAGGCGGTCAACTCCTTTGCTTAGCAAAGCGAGCCTGCAAGCATTTGTATGAGCTGTTTTTCATTGGGCATGACCAGTGTGCAGGTTGAATATGATTATTTCTTCCCGCGAAAATAAACATGCCTTAAATCAATAACAAAACTTTTGCTTTTCCCATGCGCTGAGCGCAGGTAGGGTGAGAGAGCAGTTTGACAAATTATCGCCTCTTGTGAGTCCGGCGCTAGTTTATAAGTACCGTCAAATCCTGCGCGAAAAAAAGCGCCATCAAATGACACCGGAACCACAACGCCTAGATACTCTTCACTAATAAAAAGTGCGAATGCATGTTTTGAGGGTTACGTGTCACTTTTATCCGGTGCCTGTGGAGTCCGAATATATCGAGCTTCCAATGTTAAGTATAATACTGTTTAAAGAAGCTGCTATCTCCTCGATGTGAGGCGCGAGATATGACATCAGACGGCCACGAAGGCTTGCTCCGCGCGTTGAGTGCGCTTTGCCTGCTGCAAGGGCTTAATTATCCCAAGCGCACGGATGCACCTTTCCAAATAAAAACACTACCACATTCATTCAGTAACGTAAGTGCAGGCTTTCTTGTGCTACCATAACATTTCTGTTGAAATTGGTAATTAATTTGCTTGGAAAAATTACATGTTGGAGAGATAAACACATCCTTTCCAATGATAGTGGGAGCTCCGGTGCGGCCGCCCGGGGGTCGCCAGTTTGCCAAGTGGAGAATGACATGAAACGCCGCATGGCCTAACAAGAAGACAAGGCGCGTGGTTTACCGTTCGCCTGAGAAGTAGAATGCCCGTTCCATACCAGCAACAGGATGTCGGTTTGATATGCACTACACCGCGCGTGCTCTGGTTTCCACGCGCAGCCGAGTGATAAATGATCGCAAAGCTCGTGACCGGGCATTTTTTGTCTCGTAGATAAACGATTACTCATCATAATCTGTAGTTTGTTTAGAACGAAGCGGTGCCTGTCTTGGCCGGCGCTCCAAGAACGCTGCCTGCCCTGGCGCTTTTGCCAGGGTGCGTTGTTGGGTCCGTCGGTTGTCGCCACATGTAACACGCGTCCGGGTGGCCGGTTGAATACTCTTCGCTCGTGTGGGGATCAATATGGTCCCCTAAGATCTTAAAAACTACGGGAGCTAGAGGGACCAAATTCACAGGGTGTGTTGGCCTGTGTGTACACTCACTTTTGCTAGAATTTGAGGTTCCTAGGTCATGGCCTATGGGTCAAAGAAGGTCAAAGAAGGTCAAACTCCAGACTGGTGTCCAACTTTGTCTCTAGACCATCTCATGCAACCACTATGGACCTCGATACCAGCTTTAAGCAAAAGGTCACTGGCGCTGGTCGTATAAGGTAAGTGACCTTTGCGATCTCTTGAAGGTCATGGTGAACAAAATTATACAAGAATGCTTTGATTTTTTCATTTGCATAAACGTAAAGGATTGCGCTAGGCAGCATGTCTCTTAAAACAAAATATATGACCTGGGTTGTTTTAGGTTAGGGACCTATTCTGACCGTTCGAAAGTCTATTGAAGATGCATATTGCAGTTCCTATCATCAATTAATTCAAAATGAGCACCAGAAACTACCCCATATAGGAAGCTCTAGAGTGATAAATAGATTGGCTTTGACCCTCGCCTCGCCTTTATTGCCTAGGAAACTACCACAGGTATGTAAGGCTTTGTCTAACACCCCATTGTTGTATCAGATTGAACGGCTCCTTAGACATTGTATTCGCACTGCCATGATCTAAGGTAGCTCGGGGCTCGCAGTCTTCATAGGGCAATGTGCACTGATAACGTCCACTATACGAAAAAAAGAGACACATCTGGTTTCTCATCCAAGTCAACGGCACGGTATATTGGAGTTCAATTAGCGCGCGGCAAGTCCAGACATAGGGCATCCCGTTGCGTGCCGCGACACGGCCCCACGGCTTCAGCGGGTTCAGCCTGCAGCGCTGGCGGCGGGATGGCCACGGCCCCACGGCCTTCAGCGGGTTCAGACTGCAGCGCTGGCGGCGGGATGGGCCACGGCCCCACGGCTTCAGCGGGTTCAGCCTGCAGCGCTGGCGGCGGGATGGCCACGGCCCCACGGCCTCAGCGGTTCAGACTGCAGCGCTGGCGGCGGGATGGCCACGGCCCCACGGCTTCAGCGGGTTCAGCCTGCAGCGCTGGCGGCGGGATGGCCACGGCCCACGGCCTCAGCGGGTTCAGCCTGCAGCGCTGGCGGCCGGGATGGCCCACGGCCCCACGAGCCTCAGCGGGTTCAGACTGCAGCGCTGGCGGCGGGATGGCCACGGCCCACGGCCTCAGCGGGTTCAGCCTGCAGCGCTGGCGGCGGGATGGCCACGGCCCCACGGCCTCAGCGGGTTTCAGCCCTGCAGCGCTGGCGGCGGGATGGCCACGGCCCCACTGGCTCAGCGGGTTCAGCCTGCAGCGCTGGCGGCGGGATGGCCACGGCCCCCACGGCCTTCAGGCGGGTCAGCCTGCAGCGCTGGCGGCGGGATGGCCACGGCCCCACGGCCTCAGCGGGTTCAGCCTGCAGCGCTGGCGGCGGGACTGGCCACGGCCCCACGGCCTCAGCGGGTTCAGACTGCAGCGCTGGCGGCGGGATGGCCACGGCCCCACGGCCTCAGCGGGTTCAGCCTGCAGCGCTGGCGGCGGGATGGCCACGGCCCCACGGCCTCAGCGGGTTCAGACTGCCAGCGCTGGCGGCGGGGATGGCCACGGCCCCACGGCCTTCAGCGGGTTCAGCCTGCCAGCGCTGGCGGCGGGATGGCCACGGCCCCACGGCCTCAGCGGTGGTTCATCCTGCAGCGCTGGCGGCGGGATGGGCCACGGCCCCAACGGCCTCAGCGGGTCAGCCCTGCAGCGCTGGCGGCGGGATGGCCACGGCCCCCACAGCCTCAGAGGGTTCAGGAACTGCAGCGCTGGCGGCGGGATGGCCAACTGCCCCACGGCCTCAAGCGGGGTTACAGACTGCAGCGCTGGCGGCCGGGATGGCCACGTCCCCACGGCCTCACAGCGGGGGGTTCAGACTGACAGCGCTGGCGGGCTGATGGCCACGGCCCCCACGGCCTCAGCGGGTTCAGACTGCCAGCGCTGGGCGGCGGGATGGCCACGGCCCCACGGCCTCAGCGGGTTCAGACTTGCAGCGCTGGGGGCGGGGATGGGCCACGGCCCCACGGCCTTCAGCGGGTTCAAGACTGCAGCGCTGGCGGGCGCAATGGCCACGGCCCCACGGCCTCAGCGGGTTTCAGGACTGCAGCGCTGGCGGCGGGATGGCCACGGCCCCACGGCCTCAGCGGGTTCAGCCTGCAGCGCTGGCGGCGGGATGGCCACGGCCCCACGGCCTCAGCGGGTTCAGCCTGCAGCGCTGGCGGCGGGATGGCCACGGCCCACGGCCTTCAGCGGGTTCAGACTGCAGCGCTGGCGGCGGGATGGCCACGGCCCCCGGCCTCAGCGGGTTCAGACTGCAGCGCTGGCGGCGGCGATGGCCACGGCCCCCACGGCTCAGCGGGTTCAGCCTGCAGCGCTGGCGGCGGGATGGCCACGGCCCCACGGCTCAGCGGGTTCAGACTGCCGCTGGCGGCGGGATGG